GATAGATATCCTAGTAAAACGAAACTATTGACTCTTTTCTATAATGCTTAATGGGTTGACCATAGGCCTAAGAAAGGTGGATGTACGGGTTCTTACTCTTAAATCAAAGTAAACAGTCGTTTTATTTAAGTTACGACAAAGAAGGCTGAACAAAGCACAATTGTGTTTGTTTTATATCATCATAATTTATTTAGTGTTTATTTCGGTATCACTTTATTTGTTTCAGTAAGTTCTATTTGCGAGAATAGTCCTATATTTAAATAAAAAATAGCTTCAGTAAGGAACGACGGATACCAGTGCTGTGTTGCGATTTAGTTAAAAGGACGGGGAAGTCAGTGGAAGTGATCTAGAATTTAGTGCAGATGTGTTGCGATTCAGTTAAAAGGACGGGGAAGTCAGTGGAAGTGATCTAGAATTTAGTGCAGATGTGTTGCGATTTAGTTAAAAGGACGGGGAAGTCAGTGGAAGTGATCTAGAATTTAGTGCAGATGTGTTGTGAGTCTGCAAAATAATGTGAGGAAATATTATCACAGCATGTATGCTAGTAAAATGATATTATTGTTATTCAACGAAAAGTTTATTTTAACGCTGGTCATATGTATAATAACGAAAATAAGTAAGGTAACGTTACGACTGTTGAGCGCTGGTGAATAAAGATGTTTATCAAAATAGATAAATAAAAATATTTTATTGAATTATTGTGATAACTGACGCGTATTTTCTAGTGGAATCATATTACAATTGGAACGAATTTCTTTATTTTACTTTTAACTGAAAGCCAGTATTCACAATTGAAAAATTTGTTTCTTGTCTATTCTCCGTGATGTGACGGAATGTCTGGAATATAATGCATTATCTAAGATGTTATATTTAAAATACATATTTTTTTCTTTTGAACAAGCGATTTACGACCAGAGAAAATTACAATAGTTTGCTGAGTGGGTAGAGTTACGTATTACAATTTCGAATGGTCTGAAACTGTGCTAGATGATAATTAAAATTTAGTAGTTAAATATATGCCGATATATCTCCAACAAGATTGATACACACAGTTTTCTTTTTTAATACAAATATGTTTCAATACACAAACAACAATACAATTTACAATAACAGTTATTACAAACATTGATTTATGTAAAAAAAGTTTCACAAACTTACTAGCAATATAAAGTCTTCTTTCTAGTCTGGAACTTCTTTGATACCTTATCGAGGGTTGAATATGAGCGAGTTACTTTCGAGTTGGCGTAGGTACAATTCACTTAACAGGGAACTAACTAGCCCTGTAGTTCTCGCTGATCACACGCCCATTACAGGTCGAGTTTCCACCGATGACGTTAGGTAATGTTGTCGTAAAAGTACTAATGTCCGGTTTGAATCCATTGAAGTTAAATGGTTTGGAATATTCGAAATTTATAAATGTTCCTGGTCAAATATCTGAAGTTTCCCGATTAA